TCAGAAAGGAATCTTCTATCTCTCCTTTCCAAATGTTTGGGGAAGAAAGGACTGTGACCCCAACATCCTAATAACAAAATTGAAATGAGCAGAAAGAAACGTAAACAACTGCTGTGCGAAAGTAAAGAGATCAAACTGATTTTTTTTTAATCTTAGAAATATGAGAGACGAAAGAGATGATGAGGAAAAAACATGGATCTTTCCAGCATTCTCAATACAGCAGCTGTCCTTTCCACTAATATTTGTGACATGACAAGAAGCCAAACAATCAACATCCATCAAAGCTTTATTTCTACACAAGACTACAACAAAGCTGGAAAAGAAAGTGCTGGCCAAGCTCGTGTAGAAATGATACGTTCTTAAGAATTTATCCTATAGAACTATGTATGCAAGTGTTTGTTCACTGTAGAAAACTAGAAACAATCTAAATATTTATTAATGGGGGATTAAAAAAATGGTACATTTGTACAATAAAATTCTATGCAGCTACTTTAAAAATATAAAAGTAGATGTGTGTGAATAGGGAGACAGCTCCCAAATACACTTAAAAAATGCAGAACAGTATGTAGAGTATAATCTATTTATATATATATGTATATATATACATAAATGTATATATATATATATACATAGAAAAATAATTAGAAAACAGTCTCTCAAGCTAATTTTATTTCTTCCTATATAATTCTGTGGTGCTTGAAACATTTTTACCACAAACAGTGTGTCATTTTTAATCAAAAATTAGGTTTTTAAGGTTCTATAAAAGTTCTAGAATTCCATTGTCTGAAACTGAAAACTTGTAGCAACAACCTTTACCCACCAGATGCTCTTTGAACAAACTATATTAGAGTCAGAGGAGGAAATGGTGGTAAAGAAATCTGTGCAGAAAAGAAGCAGTGAAGTATTGTGTCTGGCTGCACCCATAGAGGGGCAGAAAAATGAGGAGAGAACACCTAAACTAGTCATTTATGAAACTTTGAGATAAGAGAGACCAATAGTTTATATAAGTGCAAAGCATATCTACAGAAGATAAGCAATAGTAATATGCTTGTAATGAGGGCAAATGTAAACAATGTGAACACAGCGCTGGGAATTATAATAGACACATATTTATATCACTGTAGCAGAATACATATCTTGTGGCATAAACTGGCTTGTTAGTATCAACATGAATTTAAATCTTCTCCAAAAGCTTTCCAAAGTAGTACAAGAAATTACAAACACATTAATAAGAAGATGAATTACTGTCTATTTCAGATTCAAAGTAGAGAGAAGTCTTTGAGCCGGATTTAGCAAGAATAACTTTTAATCATTAAAACGTTACATAATAATAAATGGAACGTGAAGAAAATATTAAAAAACAAATAATATGAAAATACCTATAACAATCGAAACTCAGAGAGAATCACTATTAGAATGTGTATATTGTTTATTTTTCTTTCTTCTACCTACATATAAGTTCCACGAAAATGAACTATGTATTTTTATTATAGCATAATTTTTTCATTTTGCAACCACTCATGAAAATTTTTCTATATCAAAGTATGTTTTACCTATAAGCATGATGCTTAATGGCTCCACTGTATTTCATCGCAAAGCTATACTGCAATTTACTTAACCAATCCTCTATCACTGGACATTTCTGATGTTTATAATTTTTTCATTATAAACAATACTTTAACAATAAACACTTTTATAACTAAATCTTTACACAGATACTCAAATAGTTTCTTCTGATAAATTATTAGAAGTAGAAGTGTTTGGTCTAAGATTATGCCTCTAAGGCTTTTAATACATGTTACCAAATTGTTCTCTGGACTGGTTGCTCCAGCGCTGTACTGATAATATCCTTTGATATTAAGTTTTAGCATTTCTGAATCAAAACGACTATTTTAAAATGAAAAATAATCAAACCTTGTTATGATTACTCCTTTAAAATTATTTTATATGTTTCAATGTATTGGTTTGTTAACTAGGACATTCAACGACAAGTAATGGGAAAGTATCAAATGTCAAAATTAAGCTAAAAGATACTCGCGATACACAGGTGAGATGCCACAGCTCTTGCCCTTGAAGATTTTATAATTTACTGGGCAAGTGAGGGATGTAATAGAAATGATCCCAGTAGACGGACACCGGAGGAAAGAACTCCTGACTCTATGAGTGTGCTAAGATAGGTATCACAAGGGAGGTTATACTTGAGCTGTATCTGAAGGACAAACAGGAGTTTTCCAGGCAAAGTAGAGAAGGTAGGGCAACCCAGGCTGAGAAAACTGCATATCCCGAAGCCTAGAATGCAAATGATTCCATGGGATGGGAAACCAGTGGGAAATGGGGTGATCTCGTAGAGTGAGTGAGAACTGGTATCCCATACTAGAGTTTTTACCACACCAGTAAAGCTTTGGGGAGCTAGTAAAGCGTTTTATGTATGGGAGTGTCATGATCCAGTTTGTATTTTAGAAATTTGTATTTAGAAATATAGTGATCACAGGACATTCTTGCAGTAAGTGTGCAGACCTAAGGAGGACCCAACCTGGCACCAGGTAGGGGAAACACCAGCATTACCATGTTACCCTTTGTTGATACTATCTAACAGTCAAATACAAACCTGAAGGAGAACCAAAGTCTTCTGACCTCTAAGATATTAGATCACCAATTCATAGCATTATAGAGCTGAAAGTTCCTTTAAACTTTATCTGGTACTAAACTCTCATTTTCACAGATGAGGACACCTGTAAGCAACTTGCCGAAGGTCACACAGATGATGATGACCTATTTTTACTGTAACTTACTTACAAAGTTTTATAGTATGAGATCTCTAAATTGGAAAAAAGTTTCATAATCTTTGGTTGGCACGGTTTAATGACATTTACTTTTTAATGATGACAAGCAAAAATTTTAAATAGCATTTTAAAAAGATTGGAGAATTACCCAATAATATAATGAAAAGTAACTTTTATTTTAAAACAAACAAACCAAATCCTTAAACTTCAAAATAAATGGATATGATCTGGCTTAAAATAAATCTTATTTTTCAAACTTGTTCATTTATTAACATTCCTTAAGTCAGTCTTATACTTGACAAACCATAGCAAGTTGTCATTTGGAAATAAAGTTGCTTGTACTTAACCACATATATCTACTGATCTTTCCCTTCTCTAATCCATTTCCATATTAAAGCATTTTCTATTTCCTGGAACATATATAACATATTTAGCCAGTGGTGTTTTAAAAAAAAATCTGCTTTTAAAACTGTAATCACTCCTTGTCCTGTCCTTTTTTCTTCTGCTCAAACTGTATGCCAAAAAAAAGTGACTCCCCATTGCTTTCAATTCACTGCTAATCAGTTTCCAAGTGACTTAATCTAACATGATTAATCAAACTCCTTGCAACACCTCTCTTGCACCACGAGTAACTTAGACTAATAAGTTTAGTAGAAGTGTCACTTGCAATCTGTCAAAAAGAGCAAATATCAACATACTAAAGGTTTTCTCCCTTGAACACAGAATTTCTCTATATCAATAACTTTATAAAGGGAGGTGTCTGTTCTCTTGACTCTCTCTGGTTGTGTAAATTAACATAAAAAGCCTGTGCCATGGTCTCTACCAAATGACAAACTACTTTAATCCCATTCGTCTGCAAGTCATAGTAGATTATACATAACTAGTGTCACAGGGCAGAGCTAGCTCTTGGCCAAGGCTTGAAAGCACCATTGAAAAAGCCTCTGTCTCCAGCCACTAAGTGTGAATGCGAGCAGGGACAGGGCATCATTCCATCATTCTGATTTACAATGCACTCTGAGTATTGCCCCAGCCAAAGTTGGGCTCCCAGGAGCAGAGCAAAAGGAGAGAATGGAATATCCTTTCCTGCTCAACTTCTCTTAAATATCCTCATTTTTCAACTCACAGGGCACCTTCTCCATGAAGTCTTCCTTGACATAACCTGCTTTGAATCACATCTCCTAGGGCCTGCTAATCATTCTACTCTCTCATTCTGGCTACAGTGATTTGTTCTAGGGATAGCTGCATCACATGAGCAGAGCCAATCAGAGTCTTCCACTGGACTTTATGTGCAGATGCTACCTTCTGCTAGAACTTCCTTTCTTCTAAATGGCTTCATCAGTTGATAAAAGCCTACAGCTATGCTTTCGTATTTTTCCCTTCTTAACTTCTCCCATCACTCACACACACACACACACACACACTCCAAAATCTACCTAATAAGGGAGACTCGTCTGCAAGGCGGAATTAAGCCAACACAAAGAAGAGTTGACAGAGAGAGAGAGGGAGAGAATGAGAGAGAGAGAGAAACAGCCATAACCTATGGTGCTCTACCTTAAGATACTCAGCTAAGGAGTGGGTAAGAGCCAAAATCCAGCCTGCATTCTCCTAACCTTGGCAAGGGGCTACCCTCAACCAGAGGAAGAGACCCCCTCCTTTTTTGTCACAGTCCCGGTCTGCTCACAAAGCCTTCTTCTAATACACCCAAACGAGTTGCAGATGCTAGAGAGAGATGTGTGATAAGATCAGCAGAGCCTTTAAAGTCACCCCCAATTCTTCCCAGTTATAGTCACGCATTCCTTTCTCACCACACTTGCTTTAGCTGGGTTTTTGTCACTGGGTTTTGGCCGTAAACTTTCTGTTAGCCACTGTCTTTGGACTCTTCCTTTCAACCTCCGAGTCCTTACACTTCCCTAGTCAGGCACAGAATAACTAACATCCTTTTCTTTCTTAGAGACTCAGCTTCTATGCAGAGATAAAGTACCAAAGAAATCAAGTACAACCTAATAATGCTGCTGCTGCTTTCTTCATTAAAATGATTAGTTATGATCTCTTTCCCAATGTTTTTGGTAACTACTCCTCTGTTAACTCCTAGCAGCATAGTACGCTGTCCAAACACTGGCTGTTCTTGCCTGATGTGAAAAAGGGCCATTGCTAATTTTTTCTTACAAATCCTGGTGTGTTTCATTGTGTTTTGTTTGTAAGAGATGGATCACTCACCCTCTTTGGTATCTGTCCAGCTCATGGAGAACCGTGTGATCGCAGTATTCAAACACCAGGTGAAGCTTCCGCTTCTTCCGGAAGACTTCAATAAGGTTGACAAGGTTGGGGTGCTTGAGTTGCTGAAAACATGAAAAGCAAGGTGCTAAATGTGAGTTATGAAAGACAGCTTTCTTTAGTTTTGATCCAATAAAAAGAAACCTGTTTGTCCTTTTAGAAGTTTCTTGTGTTGGTTGAAGAAAGCCATAAACAGTATTATCTTACTTCTCTCTACGAGCTGTTAGTCAGCAGCTTGTAAGTGAGGAGTGATTATAACCCAGGTGGTTGGTGAAGGCAAAGAGAGATATGAGAAGGATGGAAAAGAAAGGAGAATGAAAAGGGGGGAGTTAGTTAATACAAACTCATCCTTTACGTCTCGGATGAAACGTCCCTTCCTGTGGATGTCTTCTCTGATCTCCCCAGACTGTTTCAGTGCCCTTGTATGTCTCATTTGCTCCCCCCACCCCAAGAAGCATGTGTCCTTCAGAATTATTTGGAATTACAAAGTAATCATGAAGAAAAGATTACTTCGTAATCATTGTTCAATTGATTGTTTAATGTCCTCTGCTGTCAATAGATACAATAGACGCATTCGATAAAATGTAAGAACCATGATATCAGGGTCTGTTCTCTTATTTACTCAAAATGATGTTGTACCCCCAGCATGAGGCCTCACGCATAATAGGTATTTGGTAATTATTTATGAATGAATGAGTAAATCATGTTTCCTAGATTGATGAAACATTTTAAAACAGAAAAATGAGGAAGACCCTCCAATCTGATAGGCCTGAAGGTGTGCTTCTAGAACAGGGACCAGGGCAGAGGCGAGCGAGATGGTGAGAGAAGCAGTGCTTGCAGATATACTTTGTTGTTAGAATAGTCAGGATGTGGTGAGCGGTAATGGAAAGGGAGGTGTCAAGAATGACCAAAGGTTTATATAAAGGAGCAGATGGTGGGGCCATCAGTGAGAGGAGAAGCAGGTTTGGGGGCGCGTGGCGTGGAAATTCGGTTTGGGGCACATTGAGTTGCTGAGGACTCTGAGATACCGAAGTGGAGCAGTCAGGTTGCCTGGTGTCTGAGCTAAAAGTAAAAGCTGGGAGTCAGCACCAGTGTAAGCAAAGTCATGAATGAATGAGATTGCCCAGAAGAGCGAGTGAGAAGGGAAGAGGCCCAAGGAACCCCGGCACCCAGATGTGTGGGAGATGAAGAGGAATCAGAGTAGGAGAAAGGGAAGAAGGTCCCCCAAGATAAGAGAGAAGACAACAGAGCGTGACGCCATGATGCCACGGGCATATCATGGAAGAAGGAAGTGGTCTAAAGTGATGGGTGCTCTGAAAGTTCACATGGGGAGAGGCCTGAGAGGTGCCTGGCAGGCTTCCCCGGGGAGGGGCTGTGTGGCCTCCCTGACCTTGGTGTCAGTGCAGTGGTGAGACGAGATGCGAAATCCTGTGGGTTGCATATCTCAAACCACATTACTCCTCTCTTTCTCTGTTGACTCCCCTGGCCTCAGGGGCAACACTCAGAGGGACATCTCTGACCCTTAAACCAGTTTGTAATCAGTAGCCTGGGGGTTTCAATCATAGCTCCAATATTGTGAATGTTTGCATTCACGAGAGTTTGGATGTTTCTACTTTAATACTGAATGGTCTTCTTTAGGGACGTATAGAGGAATTAGATGAGAAGAACCAAGCAACATGATGGATAGAAGTTCACAGGCCTATTCAACATGTTCATTACACATACCAGTGATATTAATAGAATAGACTGAATTACCATATGTACTACAAAGATATAGTTCAGGGCTCATTATAATCTCTTCCTCTTTCTGAGTATGCAAAGCCAAAGTCTTGGGCCTGGTCTCATTCTTCAGCATTCGGATCTCAATATTCTTACCAGGCCAGTCACCGTCATCCTTCTGCTATGCTCTATCTAGAAACCTGGGCCATTCAGACTCAGATGTAGTTCCTCGTGTATAAAGTTTCCACGCTTGCTGTTCCTGTGTTACTGGTTTTCCTTTTATTTTCTCTCTGTGTTTTAAATACTGATATTTCCTATTATTCTGTGCAGTGAAGCATTTTGCCTTACATTAAGAAAAGGACTCCATTTTTATCAGCTGAATTTAACCTGAGCCCTACTTGGTTTCCCTGCAGAGCTGGGAATGCTGTGTCCTTCTTGGGTTTGTTTGGTTTTTTTAAGCACTACAAGCAATGTCAGAAGACAAATAATTGGCTGAGAAATATTGGTTAAAGTTATGACAAATATAGGATTATATTCCTAATATTAAAAGAAACTTTATGTGTTATAAAGAAAAAGACAACCCAGAGGGAAAATGGAAAAAAGATATAAATAGGTAACACAGAGAAAAGGAAATACAAATAATCAAGAGACATATGAAAAGATACCCAATCTCAATGAGATACCATTACACATCTATTCGAATGGTTAAAATTAAAAAACAAAAAAAGCTGACAACACCAAATGCTTGTGATGATACTAAGCAATAAGAACTCTTATTCATTGCTGGTGGGAATGCAAAATGAGACTGCTGCTTTGGAAGACAATTTGGCAATTTCTTACAAAGCTACAGACAGTTGTTCCATATTATCTAGTAATCACACCTCTACGTATTTACTCAAATGACTCAAAACTTATGTCCATGCAAAAACCTGCACACAAATGTTTATAACAAACACCTTTATTTATGATCACCCCAAAGTGGAAGCAACCAAGTTGTCTTCCTGTAAATAAAAGGATAAACAAATTGTGATAAATTCATAGAGTGGAATATTATTCAGTAATAAAAAAACGAAATGAGATATCAAGCCATGAAAAGACATGTATGAAACTTAAATGCACATTGTTAAGTGAAAGAAGCCAGTCTCAAAAGGCTACATACTGTCTGATTCCAATTATATATGACATTCTGGATAAGGCAAAGCTATGGAGACAGTACAAAGATCAGTGGTGGCCAGGGGTTCAGAGGGTATAGGGGAGGGTAGACTAGGTGAAATGGAATTTTTTTTAGGGCATTGAAACTATTTTGTATGATATGGGAATGGTGGATTTGTGACATTATACATTTGTAAAAACACACAGAACTTTAAGCACAGAGTGACCCTTAATGTATGTAAAATTTTAAAAATTATTTAGGAGGCTGGGGAATCCTAGGATGGAATGCAGACTGTGATGAAAAGATCTAACTGTATTAAAATGTGCAAAATAACCTCACTGGAGCGGGTCAGGGGGAAAGGTGCTGACTTAAGTAACTCTGGAAATAGGTAGAGTCTGTAAGACTAAAGGAACTACACATAAGCCCTGTACTCTCATTGATAGTTGTTTTCCATGAGGGTAAAGATTAACAATTCTGATACTGCTATAGATGTGTCCTGGAACAATGAAGTAAATGATGCTAGATAATAGGAGCCAGGTTTCTGCCTGAGTATACAGATAAGCAAGGAGAGATGAGTATAACCCATAATCTAATCAATCCTTGGATTTGAGTTGGAGACATCAGTATGAACTCACGTTTAGCTTAATATAAATATAAACAATTATGTATGGAAATAACTATAGATATCTTTGTATACATGGGTTAGTATATACACATATATCACCTTGTTCTGTCAACTGAAACGGCCTAGAAAAAAACAACCACACTACAGTAGCGACAAGTACACCTAGTGCTCAGATCTTGGTTTCTAATACCATTCTCCAAAACAGGGAACCAGGGCTCCATGGAGAAAATGGATAATTCTAAGTGGGACAGGAAAACTACAAGATGAGGCTAGAGCATCTTACAGTGCCAGGAAGTAAGGAAGGGCTGAAACAACTGCACAGAGCGACTTCCTTCCAAAAAAGTAGAGTATGGAGAGGCAGAAAAAGAGTAAGTTTATAGTGGAGTAACCTGACAAACACTATCTCAGCCAGGTGATGTAGCCTTCCTCCCCAAAATCCATAACCCCAGTCTAACCATGACAAAAACACCAAATTCCAACAGAGGGGCATTCTACAAAACACCTGACCAGTACTCATTAAAACTGTCACGGCCATCAAAAACACAGAAAGTCTGAAACCGTCACAGCCAAGAGAAGCCTAGGGACACATGCCAAGTAAATGTAATGTAAAATCCTAGATGGGATCCTGGAACAGGAAAAAACATTAGATAAAAATTAAGGAAATACGAATAAAGTATGAACTTCAGTTAATATAGTGTATCAATCCTGGTTCATTAATTAAAACAAATGTGCCATACTAATGTAAGATGCTAGTAATAGGTGAAACTTGGTGCTGGGTATACGGGAATGCTCTATATCAGGGGTACCCAAACCCCGGGGCTGCAGATGGGTACCTGTCTGTGGCCGGTTAAGGAACGGGCCACACAGCAAGAGGTGAGTGACAGACGAGCCAGCACTAGCATCACCGCCTCAGCTCCACCTCAGATCATCAGGCATTAGATTCTCATAGTAGCACCGGTCCCTGGTGCCAAAATGGTTGGGGACTGCTACCAATATGATCTCGATTTTTCTAAAATCTAAACTGTTCTAAAAAATAAAGTCTATTGAAACACACACACACACACACACACACACACACACACACACGCATCTTTTTACCCAGCACACCACCTTTGGGAATATACTGTATATAAATAAAAGCACTGTTGCATAAAAACATACGTACAAGGATATTTATTACAGCACTGTTTGTGGAGGCAAAAATTGGAAACAATACAAACATCCTTTGATAGAAGAGGATGGCTAAATAAATTGACACATTCAAATCATGAAATATTAAATACCATGCATGAAATCGAGGTCTCGCTATTGACCTAATGACAATGATATATTGAATGAAGAAGGAAAGCTATCGAGTAATTTTATAAAAATATATGAAATTAGAAAGTATATTAATATATGATAATTTATTCTATATTCATTTGTCTCATATTACTATTTAAAACATATACTGAGCCCTACTCTGTGCCAGACATTATTCTAGACCTCTGGGATTACAATATTTAACAAAGATGACAAAATCTCTGCTCTGAGGGAGCTCATATTTGAGCACGCTAGATAGGGATAAG